AAAAAAAAGAGAGAGAGAGAGAGAGAGGGGAGAGAGAGAAAGAGGGGAGAGTGAGAGAAAGAGGGGGGGAGAAAGAAAGGGAGAAAGAGAGAGGGGAGAGAGAGAGAGAGAGAGAGAGAGAGAGAGAGAGAGAGAGAGAGAGAGAGAGAGAGAGAGAACCATCAAGTACTGATACATAAATTCAGGGGCACTAGAGGTCGCACTTGTCTCCTGTGAACGTTCCATTAGCACAGGACCTGCTAATGGCGCTCATAGAGGCATATGGCCTGACCGCACATTTTTAGAATAAAGGCAGTAGCATTAATACGTATGTACATGTACAAGAATGTACTGTATCAATAGTAAATGGGTGTCTAGACAAGAGGCTTGTTATGCAATATTACCAACCGACTCGCAAAATAAACTCCAGCTCAATATACTGACCCTTATCTCTTCTAGAACTAGTCAAATGGAACCAGAATATGAATAGATTCATAGCCAGAATATGAATAGATTCATAGCGCACAAAAACCAGGCATAACAATCAACTTGTACTATATATAAACGTGCAAGTACATGTACAAGCAGAGAAAAGCCTGTGCTTTAAAAAGAGGTCCAGCGCATTATAAATACACATGCATATTAAGTACACAGGGGCTCTATAGTTACTGTAAGAGGGTGACCAGTACTGATAAAAGGGCGGGAGAAGTCAATAAAAGGTACACCTGGTGGGCTGGTACTATTATAACAAAAGCCAACTGAAAGGATAGATTCCAGTACATGGATGTATAGTTTAATATTAGCATCACTACAAGTCACTACACTATAATACAGACAAGGCTATAGTGACTGCTATATAGTCTCCCAGCAAAAGAGAGATGAATGGTTTCCTCAAAGAGAGGAGGGCAAAGCCTCCATGAAAACAATCAAAATTTCACACCTTCATATCACCAGTAGAGATCAAAGGCTGAAATAACTTGCGAGTACAAAACTAATGCAAACATCCCAACAATACAGCATACTAAATCAATACAGCTAAAGCCTCATCCCCCAGTGTATAAATAATACAAGCATGCTTGTAATGGCCCGGCCAGCTAACTAAATAATCTACATAGGCAGCATAGCTATATCAAGCGTGTATAATACTTTTATAATTGCATACCAGAGGGAACCCTATATAAAACCTTACAGATACATCAAAGGCTCTGGTATTATAGGCAAATTTTACTCCTCCCGCTTTAAAGAAAGGCTTCTTCTTCTTCTTCTCACATATATTACATAATACAAAGGATTTCTTATGCTATTAGAACAAGTATTATCAAGTATCAACGTCATTTATGTGGACAAATTTAAAAATGAATAATGGCTGAATGGCCAGTATGTTAAATCACTGAGAAATGAGGCTACCCGGCTTTAGGGTGTGCATTACCTAAACAGCTGCTTCCTTCTCTGTTAGTTTGACGCTAGTAAGTACATGTACATTTACAAGGACTGTATACCCTGATACTATAGTTCACGAGATCAAACTGAGTCATGTGATCTCTGACCAATAGGGTTTATACAAACATTAGGCCAGATGTACCCGCTTTTAAATAGAGAAAGAGAGGAAGATAAAAAGAGAGAGAAGGAAGAAAACAAAGAGAAAGAGAGAGAGAGGGGGGGAGAAAGTTTATTGCTAACTTTGATCTTGTGCCT